CTGCTGTATACAACTTGTATTTGTAAATGCTAGCAGTGCTAGCCAATATATGTGAAGAAATCTTCTCTATGTTGTTTTTTCAGCAAAAAATCCAAGATGGCTACTGCTCGATACCTGCAGACTCCCAGGTGTATGATATTGCTGGTCTGTTCAAACAGTTTTTTCGAGAATTGAGCGACCCTTTGCTGACGTACCGACTCCACGATGCTTTCATGAAATGCTACCTATTGGAAGAGGAAATTGATCAGCAGTATGCAGTACTGCTACTTTGTAATTTGTTACCTGTCAGTCATCTCCATACCCTCCAGTACACCATGAAATTCCTGATGAGGGTAGCCGATCACTCCAAAGAAAATAAGATGGACGCCAGTAACTTAGCAGTCGTACTTGCACCCAATTTAATGGGCAGCACAGAAAAGAATGAAAAGATGACCGCAGCTGCCGAGAAATCCATGCGAATCCGTACGAATATTATCCATCAGTTGATAAAAGATGGAGACAAGATTGGAACGGTGTCGGACATTTTGTTTTCTAAGATATCAACGATGAGTACCAAATCTGGAGCAATGTCCTGCGATGGGTTAACATCTGAAGACGAACTGGATAGAAGTAGCGATACTTTCTTAAGTAAAAAACGGAGAAAAAAAAGGCGAAGTGGATCTGTATCTGGTACGTTGCTGATGTGATTGAGATTATTAATCACTTATTAATGACCTAGGGGGGCATCTCACAAGCTCACAGATTCTGATTAATATTAATGTTATGTATAATTAGTGCAACCTTGGTCGAGAACAAGGTGGGATCTTAATATACTAAAGTACCGGTACATGTATTTGGCATGTACTTACATTGTTTCTCATCTATCCTAGTATAATAATATGAATTCATAAAAGTGTTTCTGCATTCAAATCTCGAAGGTATCGTGAGTGGACTTGGCCAAAGTCTTGGCATATTGAAATCGGCCAATACAAGCGTTAACAAGACACCGGGATCAGTTTGGGATACGCCGCTTACTTTTGTGAACTCTGGTGAGTGAATTCCGGCTACATACAGACCCAGGATTTAATGGGAGCGCCATTTTAGAATAATACGTACCTAGTCCTATTTGACATATACATGTCAATGAACAAAGTCATGATGTTTTTAATTTCCATGATGTTTCTAATTTTTGTGACTCTATCAAATCAAATCGTATCGCTGTCCGTGTTTGACCAGTGATCACATACATTTGATAAGATTTATTCGATCATACAAACTAGACATAATATAGAAGTCTTTCTATATTTTCAAATCATAATAATAATTTTTTTGGCTTTATAGATACAGTCAGTCCACATCAGTCTCTTCTTGTTCCTGGTGAAACTCCAACAATCAGACGATCTATGAAACGTAAGCAAGAGGATATCGGTGCATTTTCTGCAGCTAAACGGTAATTCACTATCTTATATAAATTTGAAAGCCCCTTATTCTGATCATCTGATTTTGCTGTAGACTAATTGCTAATTTACCGTAGTTGTCCAAGTATAAACCCACCCCACCCCCCAAGAAAACAGCAAATTGGCGAAAAATTGGAGGAGGGGCTTATAAACAGATAAAAGTTAAAACTTCTCCTGAGCGATAATTTATGCTAATTTATTCATAAACAAATCGTTGTGTGTACACGAGTGTCTTCAGCGACTAGCATCATCCAAATTAACTTATAATCGGGTGAATGACTTGTTGTAAAATGCTGTAAATTTGGAGGGGGGGGCTTATACTTGAGCAGGGGTTTATACTTGGACAACTACGGTAATGGGATAGCTTGTGTGTAGAATACAATTTATATTGTTGACAAACAAGCCAATAATTAAATAATGACAGCTATGACATTTACAGTAGCCATGCATTCACTTCCTGTTTTGGTAGAGAATTAAAATTATGTTACAATCTCTGCAAATCTTGTAATTACTACAACAATAACTCATTCTTTTGTTTTAGGAAAGCGATGTTGCACCAGTTGACCTCTGACCCAAAGTACAGTAAACAAGGTATTCATATTCATAAGGGTACACCTGTTGGTCTAAATACACCAATCACGCCATTGCGACCACCTGGATCAGCCATCGGAGAAAGCAGTCAGTATTCATTTCATTACATCTCCTCTAGGGATCTTCTCCAAGTTTTGCCAGAGTAGTGTACCTGCATGTTGACTGTTCAATACATGTCTGTACGCAAGTTAAATTAATAGTCTTTACTCATGTCATTATGGATTTTCACCATTATATCAATATTTTTTTATATATGTGAATGTTCAAAAAATGCATTTTCTTGATTGCTCGAACCAGTGTGTAAGTGTATTACAATAAAAGTGTATGCAATTTTGATATACTTTCTACTCGCAACAAATTTGGAGAAGCTCCCTCGCTTTCATTGTGTTACATAAATCTTTGTATTTGTGATAATTTCTTTTTAACTTCTTAACCTTTGAACGCCCAAAATAAATCTTTGTCACGTTGCTCAAAATGAACTCGCTTATTTTTTTTTTAATTTTGATCAAGACCAGTAGACTCATAGCGACATACGCAACACGTGTAAAATACATTGTTTGTTCACATGATATTATAACACGTGCTGTGTGGTGACCACCGTCCTTTAAAAGGATTTGAAATGTACATTTTGGCAAAAAAAGGTACAGGTTTATTGGAGGTTTTCACATATTCCATGGATTATCAACTTCCATCGTTACAAGGGCATTTCATTCTGGACCACTGCTTATGAATCATGAAAGCAATCTCACAAACTTGTCATTTAATTTATTTGTCTTGTGTTTATGTAAACTGATTTTTGTCTCCCGTGTGCGAAGCACAAAAAGGGAGTCTTTGCAGTTAGTGTGTCTGTGTGTGTGTCTGTTCCACTGATATCTCAAGAACCTTACATTGATTTTTGATGAAACTTGGTGCATAGATGATCTGGGCCAATGCGCAGATTTGATTAAGTTTTGGTTAAAATCCATGCATATTAATTACCTAATTTGCATAATGATTAATCAATTTTCGGCTTTTCCACTGATATCTCAAGTACTAATCATCACATTTCAATAACACTTGGTACATAGATGTCATAGGACACTGCACAGACCTGATAGTTTTTAGTGTAATGTCAGTACATATTAATTACCTAATTTGCATAATTAATTAATTTTCAGCTTTTGATATTTCAAATAATAATCATCACATTTCAATGAAACTTTGTACATGGTTACTTAAAGACTGTGCAGAGACCTGATTAGTTTTGGGGTAAATATGTGTGCATATTAATCACCTTATTAGCATAATTAGTTAATTTTCAGCTTTTCGCCTGATAACTCAAGTACTGATCATCATATTTCAATGAGACTTGCTACATAGATCCTCTAGGACTATGCAGAGACCTGATTAGTTTTAGGGTAAATAATTGTGGATATTAATTACCTAATTCGCATAATTAGTTAATTTTTTCCATGAATGTTCCACTGATATATAAAGAACCACTAATTAGATTTTAATGAAACTTTTAAAGAGTATTCATCATTTCAATGAACCTAGGACTATACAGAGACCCAATTAGTTTTTGGTAAATATTTATGCTTATTAATCACCTATTTAAAATAATTAATTAACACTGATATCTTAATCACATTTGAATAAATTTGGTACATAAATGCTCTAGAACAATAGACAGGCTTGATTAATTTTGGGTTGAAATTTGCTCATATTAATTCTCTAATAATAATTCGTAGTTTTTTTGTTCTAATCACATTTCAATGAAACTTGGTACATAGATATTACATTACGCAGGCCTTATTAGTTTTACACTCAAATCTGTTCATATCAGTTACCTGATTTACATAAATAGATTTCAGCTATTCCATCAATATCTCAAGTACAAGTAATTTTGAATTAATTTTCTTTCTAAGCTTTCTTTAATTTAAAATTTGATTTTATTAGGTGCTAAAACCAGTGAACAGTTGTTTGGTTTCATGTCGCCATCCATAAAATATGCAGATGAATCAGGGAGTTTTTGTTCAAGTCCAACTGTGAAACTACTTGACGAGATAAATATGTCACAAGATACTATCACACCGTCATCGAAAAAGAAATCCAAATCGAAGACTCCAAACTTGAATAAGAAAATAAAGAGGTATGTTACTGTGGTCGTACAATTATTTTGTATACATCCACTACATTTTACCCTGAATTTCAGGGAAAAAAACTCTGCTTTTCCCTATTAGGACCTTGAAAAAGTTTTTATGGTGTTCTGTCTGTGTGTCTTGTCATGCCTGGGACCGATTTTGTTCAAAGTTGGTACAAGGACAAGACAAAACATTGGCATCCCACATGATGGGTTACTAAGCATGATCAATTCATTTGCATTTTGATCTGTTTTGCCGGCAGACATTCTTCCAGCAATGCCGGTTCTGGCTGTTTCTCACCACGAGCTGACAATAAAAGACGATCTATTAGACAGAGACTGCGACAAAGATCATCTAGTGTCCAGGTATTTTGTGATTTATTTAATTAGGAAATTACCATGGAAACCAGGTTTTAAGCTTTGCAAATTAACAATGTATTTTATACGCATTGTACAGGGGTGCATGTCAAACACCACACAGCGCAAAGCAATGATTGTGATGTTTGGATTGATGTATTATATGAATGATTTGTTGGTGATCATAATAACCAAAAGTGCTATACGCATAAATTAGTTTACAGATAGATCATAGTGCATTGTGGGACAGTTTTCGCTCATTACACATGCAAAATGGTTTTCGATTGGTAGAAACTGTTTCACAGTCTTTTTGTGTCAAACCACTTGTTACACTGACTCACAACATAAGAGGGTTTGTGTAACAGCTTTCCAAAATTATTGATTTTTATTTTTATTGTAATTTTATATGTTCACAAGGATTTTTAATGGATTTCACTTGACTCTCAGAGTCTGTTTATATTTATATTTGTGAGAAATAATTGTGTAAAATTTGGATTTTATTTTGAACAGGGTACACCAAGCAAACTGAAGAAAAATAACAGTGTTGGTTGGAGATTGGCCAAGGGATTACCACTTGATGGTTTAGATACTCTGAATTTTGAAGGCCTACAGAACCCAATTACACCTATCATAACTCTAAATGCAAATACAAAGAAATCAAAAAAACTCTTCCGGCGACACAAGAAAGTTCCCACATCACCAGGAAGGCTTATTACAACCGAGAAATGTGTATCGTATGTACCTTATTCTCCAAATGTTGGGTCTTCCCAGGGTTCCTCAGCAAAAGAAGAGAACCAAGCTCTACTCCGTCCTCCATCTCCAAGTGCCAAGTACAGGGGGAAGGGTACACCACAGTTGGGTAGAAAGATAAATGAGAACCTATCTGGTTCACCCAAGGTGATTACCGTTGACATACACATGAAAACACCGTGTAATGCTGCTATGGCAAGTAATCGTCTGTATGTGGAGACTAGTGGAAGCACCAAATCACCAGGTCATGTGACTGCTAAACCTCCGAAATGTCATTCAAGTAGGCAGCCCTGCAATAGAGCTTCCTCATCTGAAATCAGGAATTTGAAGCCTCCGTCGCCTGTACAACTTAAAAAAGAACAGCTTGCAAAGCAGCAGGCAACAAGAATTGCTGCTAAAATGGCAAAAACTAATCCTACCCAAGCGGCACATAAACAAAGAATTGTTAAATCGGCCAGTGTACCAGAGAATTTAGATTCTGTTCCTGTCACTAGACTCAAACCTATATTGAAGTCTTCTCAGAGCCTTCCAGAAGAGCTCGAAAGAACCCAGTCAGGATTACCGCCTAAGATGATGTCTGAAACACAAGCGTGTAAAGGTCGGCCTATTCTCACTGCTGCAGTGAGTCTTCCAGAAGCACTCGTTGTATCGTCAGAATCAGTGACTATAGGGAAGTCTACAAGTTGTCAGAGTATAGCCAGTATCTTGTCTGAGGACGGTAATGACAAAGAATCAGATAGAAGTTCTCAGTCGGTGGATCCTCCCCAAGCTACTGAAATTGATGTAGTTGCTCAAAAAGGCAGGATCATAAAAGAAACTAATATATCAGAGATTGAGACTGTGGAAGCAAAGGAAGTTACTGAGCTGGCAAGATCTCCGCCACCTAAAATGTCAAAATCTGAGTCGTTTGATAGTGGTAAAGGTTTATCAATGTTTGATCTAACCACAGTCGGTGTACAGAGCACGTCAGAGGATGGCAGTTGTGTGGAGGTGAATACTGAACACCAGGAAGTGGATGGGATGACTGAGAATGTACACGATGGCAGTGGAGTTGATGTAGACCGTAATAGTTCTATTAGTAGTGTGGATAGTGTTATTGACTCTGCTGTTGGATGCCAGGATGACGAAATGGAGATTGGTGATAATGCTTGTAGTGAGGTTAGAGAGATGTTACATGAAGATGATGATGTGGACGAAAGTTGTGATAGCGTCTCAACAAAACAGTACCTGTCACTGGATTCCTTCGATGAACAGAATTGTGAGGGAGACTTTGATTCAGGTACCGGTAATAGTAGCATTAGCAAGTCAAAAATAGCACATTCCAGCTCTGATTCCAAGATTACAGTTGGTAAAGTCGCTTCTGAGATGGTCAAAAATGATGGAAATGTATCACCCTTGAAGCGAGCATTATCGTATACTTTGCCAAATAGGGATGAAACACGACAAGAGAGCACAAGTAGTCTGAATTCTAGTCTGGTACAAAGGCATATTGAATTGTTTAATTCCTTCAACAAAGAAGAGTTTACTTCTCCCCTTCGCGTCGCTAAGAAACCACTCGCTTTCCGACGGGCCCCATCTCTGAGACGCCGCAAAAACAGTGATTCCCGGGATGACTCTGAAAGCCAGGTTGTTGAAGTAAAGTCAATGAAGAAAACCACATCCGATGTGAGTCTCATGAAAAGACCAAAGATACCCATTACGAGTATGCTGGTGAAGTCCATGAGCATGGACAGTGGTTTCACAAAGTTAGCGTGCGATACTTCCTACATTCGAAAGGAATCGCATGATCACAATGACTCGTATGAAGAAGCCATCTCGAGTGCTATGTCCCATGTAAGGGTACCTCGTAAAGTAATAGACGATGATGACGATGATGTTTTCATTGTTCCCAAGTCGCCTTTAAAGGATTACAATTTTATACAATCAAAACGGATGACATCAAAAAAGGAGAAATCTCGAAAGATGACCCCGATGAGAGAACTACCGAAGAAATATATGATAGCACCACAATCGTTGACACCTTTGAAATTAGCAACTCGGACTCGGGTTAGATCGAACAGCGGCAAAGTCGTTAAAAAGTCACCAATGAAGGCACTCAAGAGACTTTCCCCAGAGAGTTCGGGTCATTTCAAACATAATAATGCCTTATTAACGCCAACAAATAGAACATCCAAAATACTTAAAAAATCACCAAAGTACCCCAATTCTCCTAAATCTCCCGTGAAAATGACCAATGGAGGAGGACACTTGAAGACGTACTATATGAAAGATTTTTAATCAACTCGCTGTGCTGCGATGTGTGTGCACGTGCATATTCGCTGTGCTGCGATGTGTGTGCACGTGCATATTCGCTGTGCTGCGATGTGTGTGCACGTGCATGTTCGCTGTGCTGCGATGTGTGTGCACGTACATGTCTGTGCGTCTAAAAAGCTTTAATTAACTCCCATGTGCGAAGCACAAAATGGGAGTCTTTGCAGTTAGTGTGTCTGTGTGTGTGTGTGTATGTGTGTCCGACTGTTTCACTGCTATCTCAAGAACCATACATCGGTTTTTAATGAAACTTGGTGCATAGGTGCTCTGGGCCAATGCGCAGATTTGATTAGGTTTTGGTAAAAATCCATGCTCGTTAATTACCTAGTTTGCATGATAATTAGCTAATTTTTAGCTGTTCTATGACTGTTCCACTGATATCTAAAGAACCACTCATTGGATTTTGATGAAACTTGGTACATAGATGCTCTGAACATATGCGCAGATTTGATTAGTTTTTGGTAAAAATTTGTGCATATTAATTACCTAATTTGCATGATAATTAGCTATTTTTTAGTGGTTCCATGACTGTTCCACTGATATCTAAACAACCACTCATTGGATTTTGATGAAACTTGGTACATAGATGCTCTGAACTAATGCTAGGTTTTGATTAGTTTTTGGTAATAATCCGTGGATACTAATTACCTAATTTGCATAATGATTAGTCAATTTTCGGTTTTTCCACTGATATCTCAAGTACTAATCATCACATTTCAATGAAACTTGGTACATAGATGTCATATGACACTGCACAGACCTGATAGTTTTTATGGTAATATCAGTACATATAATTACCTAATTTGCATAATTAATTAATTTTCAGCTTTTGA